GCTTTTAAAATGTCGGATATTTCTCTTAGCGCGCGCGTGTCAAGGGCACCAATGGTTAAATGATATTTAGATTCATCTGATCTAATACGACTTACTTGAAATGCCGATTCGGTTTTTGCCAACCATAGCTCAGGCTCTTCAGCCCAAAATGGCAAAAGCTTGCATGCCGATATTGCAGCTATGCTGCTAGCTTCGGAGTGCATGTCAGTCATACCTGCTGTCTCGTTGTTTGCAGAATTAAAATTGAGAGTGCGAGGTTGAAGATTCTCGTGAGGAATGTGTCTCGGATTCCGTCGCTGAGTTTGTAGTTCGAAACTGCTGGAATGCGGGCTGTTTATCTCTGGGATGTTTATAGTAGCGTCAAGGTCGACACTGTTGTCCCACGCTGGTGTGTCTTCTCGCGGCACAAAGGAATTTCTGGACTGGCCGCTAGTACCCGGAGTTGATGAATTTTCTTCTTGAGTTGTTTGCATTCCACTGCAAGGTCGTTGAAAAACTACACTAAATTTCTGTAATTATATTTTCACACACTTTTTGTAATGCCACTTTTCTTCTTTTCTTGAAACGCGGGGTCACCAATGTGGAGAAGGTTAATTCGCACGCTAAGAAATGATTTGACTCCTTGATTAATTTAGTTAAAGATAGAACTTTATTTCATTTGATTACAGTAAGTTGATGTAATCTTTATTTACACTGTCTACTTGTTGTTTGATTCACTGAGCTAGCGGAATTCAAATGTGAATTTCGTTGAGGTTCTCTCCTAGCGCTACAGCAACTGTGTGTTTGCCAACGAGGAGCTGGCAAGGCGTTACCAACTGCCTCGCACGCCAGTGAGAGAAGGACTGCCGCTACTGGAATTCGGTGCGGGGAACGAGCGCTTGATTGCGCCGCCTTGTTGCCGACGACTGCGGAGTGCTGACCTCTTGTGGCCACTGTTGTAAGCTTGGCGCGACCGCCACATATTTCTATCATTATCAGTGTTTAGGCATGCACAGTAGCTATAAGTGGTTAAATAAAGGGCTGCAAAAATAATTATAATGTGGATTCACTAAGCCTAAAATATTTACTTTTATTTTTCACATATATGAAAATACTCGTAAGTTAAAATACCAGTTATTTATAAAAAAAATAAAATAAGCTGATTTCTCTCTTTTATCAGGAAAAACTTCAAATCGCTCAAAGAAGAATGTCATAAATAGCCTAAAATCAGGATATCATAATACAATGCAACGGTAGTCGATTCAATTAATCGAACCGTTCGCGATTCTGATTTTCGCGCGTTAGTTCTAAGTATTGAAAGAGAGAGGGGGCGCGTGATCTTTTGAATTAGCAGTTACGTCTGAGCTGGTACTTGTGTAGTACCGCCAAAATAGTTTAGCACAGTGTTTCACCGATTTGCCAATAAAAAAGTTTACTTGGATTTTGGATACGTGTGCAAGGGTGAGCGAGGAAGCAGCGACAGTAGCAGCATCACGGAAGCAGCAATAAAAGCAACAGCTATTATACAGCAGATTTGCGATCGAGGCAGCACAGCTGATTCTGATCGGAGGAGCACCTTTAATTTGCTTCAACAATTACGGCTGATCACCGTAATTGCACCGCAGGGTACGTGCACCTCCCTTAATTATCGCGTGACAAAATACATTTGGTATTTTGTCCAACAGTGTTAGCGTTAATTTTTTGTATTCGCGTCGAGCGTTAGATCGCGCCAATTTTCGTATCTTCTCTCTCTCTCTTTCTTACCGAAAGTTATTTAATTGTAAATCCTATTCGCGTGCGTCAGTCTTTCGGCCCGACAAAGACTAGAGATTTTTATCAATAAAATCTATTAAACTTATTCGCCGATTTCGTCATATAATTTTTCCTAATAGTTTAAACAATTGAAAAAGGCTTAGGTTTTAATCCGATTATAGCTAGGGTATTAAGTGGATTAGGAGCAAAGTCGATTACACTTAAAACTCATCGAGTATCACAAGGCACGTGACTTAAGGTGAGTTCAACTCTGCTTGATCGAAGACAACTAAGTTAAGTCAGCTGACGTTAAGGCGAATACACGTATTAACATACGTGTTAACGGAGCGGCGGTTTGCTCTGCATCGTGGGAGTTTGTTCTTAAATAAATTTCTCATTTTGCTGATTTATCTCCCCCGTTACAACAAGTAATTTATGATTACTGACAACTTCGAAAACCATTCATTTTTTGGAAGTAATAAAGAAAAATCATTGACCCGACAGCCGTAAACTATACAAAAGACCATATAGAACTATTGAAATTAGTTGACTATGTTATAGTAATACTAGATTTTGGTTTGAATAATTATTAGTGAATGAATGGGCAAAACTGTTGACCAGAATATTCAATTTTAGTACTTGAAAAGTTCTAGCAAATTCTAACGCTTATATCCACGAATTTGCTTTATTTTTCAATTATATATTCTGGATTATAGTCTTTAATTATAACTATAATAATAGTTTTTCTAACATTGCAATATTACAAATACATAAATGGTTTTCACAGCATTTTGATTTCAATAATAAATTGATCAATATACAGTACCGGCCATTAATTTTGGATGGGGAATCCATTTTTTGCTCTGACTTCTCACGCGCATATCTTCTTCAATATTTGTCGGAAATTTTTTTTTAAAATATTATTGGAAAGTACTCCTTAAAAGCTTCCTTTTTGTGTTATTAAATATTTTTTTATGCCGTTTTTGAGACTGTGAGACCCTTAAGCAATTTTACAATTTTTACAATTTTTTGATTTTTGTTCAACCAGCTACAGTTTTTTTAGTAATAAAGTTGGAAAAAAACGGAAAGCAGATATGGAAAGTACTTGCGAAATGCCATATGCAAGTATTTTTCAAAAAAATTTTAAGTCATTTTGTTTTAAGTTATAATTAGAGAAAGCTATAGGTTTATTTCTCTAACATAACAATCGATCATGAGAACTCCGACGCTTGAGTACACGTAATGTTTGTTTACGTTTTCAACTCCTGTCTTTGGTTTCGAGGTACTAAAGGTGAAAATGCTCGATATGTTTATATCACACATCAGTTGAAAATGGGTTTCCAGCGGGTGAGGACATTGAGAGAAGAGCAATCTCAAATTCGAAATTTACGAAAATTAGGTGTTTCTTTCCATGCAATTGCAAAAAAATTACGCGTCCCTTACTATCGAGTGTGCAAAGTGTTGTCGAAAAGATCAAGAAAACGTGAAACCAAACAAGACAAACTCAAAACTAGTGCTTTATCGAAAAAAGAAAAGCGTGCACAAGCTGTAGCTTTACGAAATGAAGATTTATCATATTCTGAAATTTCAAAAAAACTTGGGATGTCATATGGCTCAGTATACAGAGCATGTCAAAGATACCGAGATTTCAAAAATAATGCTGATCGCCCACGCAAAGGACAGCCTCGAAAAACGTCAAGCAAAGAAGACGAGTTCATTGTTGTATCGAGTAAACGTGATAGAAGAGTAACTGCTCCTGAAATAACAGCAAATATTAATGCATCGAAGAATAAACCAGTTAGTTTAACAACAGTGAAACGCCGCTTACACGAAGCAAACTTAAACGGACGCATTGCTGCTAAGAAGCCTCTCCTTCGACCGATTAATCGTAAAAAACGTCTTGCATGGGCAAAAGAACATGTAGATTGGACAATCGAAGATTGGAAAAAAGTTTTGTGGACAGACGAATCAAAATTCGAGTTATTTGGCAGCAAACGTCAACAGTACGTACGGCGTAGACCTGGCGAACGGTTTTCTAAACAGTGTCTTATACCGACAGTCAAGCACGGTGGAGGAAGTATTATGGTGTGGGGTTGTTTTGCGTGTAATCAAGTGGGAGATTTGAAGAAAATAGAAGGTATTATGGATAAGAAAATGTATCACAGCATCTTGCAGCGACACGCTATCCCGTCTGCATTACGTTTAATTGGTGATGGGTTCCATTTTCAAGAAGATAACGATCCCAAACACTCTTCAAAACTGTGTAGAAATTATTTAAGTAAAAAAGAAGAGAATGGAGTATTAAAAAGAATGATATGGCCTCCTCAGTCGCCAGACTTAAATCCAATTGAATTATTGTGGGACGAGCTAGATAGACGAATACGGAAAAAGCAGAAAGCAAAACAAAACCTTTCCGAATTATGGAATGCCCTTGAAAGCAGCTGGAACTCTCTTGACCGTACTGTGCTTGAAAAATTAGTGTTAAGAATGCCAAGAATCTGTAAAGCTGTGATTAAAGCCAAAGGAGAATTTTTCGACGAATCAAAAGTTTAATATTTTTTTTTGTTTGCTTGTAAATATATAATTTATTGTTCTATTATTGAGTCTAGTTTCATATTTTTGTTGAATGTTCAAAGATTTCTAAGAGTTGTGATTTCATTGTATATTTTGTTGTGCAAACTATATTTAAAATGTAATTATATACGTACCATACGACATTGATTACGTTAATCCAAATGTTATAATGCTAAAATTATAATTTTAATAAATATGCTTGAAACAAAAATGTTTTTTTTTATTTAATACTCCGTAATAAAAAAAAGGCAGCGATTGACTTGTCGTAGTAAAAATTTAACAACAAAAAGACTTAAAATTTTTTTGAAAAATACTTGCATATGGCATTTCGCAAGTACTTTTCATATCTGCTTTCCGTTTTTTTCCAACTTTATTACTAAAAAAACTGTAGCTGGTTGAACAAAAATCAAAAAATTGTAAAAATTGTAAAATTGCTTAAGGGTCTCACAGTCTCAAAAACGGCATAAAAAATAATTAATAACACAAAAAGGAAGCTTTTAAGGAGTACTTTCCAATAATATTTTTAAAAAAAATTTCCGACAAATATTGAAGAAGATATGCGCGTGAGAAGTCAGAGCAAAAAATGGATTCCCCATCCAAAATTAATGGACGGTACTGTAGATGTAATCTAGAACTTCTACTGTATTTAAAAATATGATCTCATTTATATTGACTTTATAAAGATAAATACTTACCTAAATCTTGCTTCGTATCTGTCTGCTTTGAAATCTTTAGAGGTATGTTTAAAATTTTTCTTTTTAAAGGCCATTTTTCTCCGAAACTAGATATTATTGTTTTTATGATAAAGTTTCCATCACAATACGATAATGCTTCTTCAGCTCGATGTAACTTTTTAATTAGGGCATCGCTGCCAAAATCGGAGCTTTTTAAATCTAGAAATAAAAGGATATTTAGTTAAAATATTTTTTGTTAAAATACGTTAAAATACTGTTTGCGCTCAAAGTATTGAAGTGTGAAATTAACTATGACCTAAGCGAATTATTTCAAATATTTTGGACCGTGGAAGAAGTGTCGGCCATTGACCACAAATTAAAACAGTTTGATGGGGAATGAAAACCTTTTTCCCGCAACGCACTCACGCGATCCTGACGGATATTTCAAGGTCCATCTTCCGTTGGTCAGTGACCTTCCCAGAGTGGCCGCAGAAATGCGTAAGATAGCTCTAGGCTCACTTAAACATCAACATCGACGGTTTGCGAGTGATCCGAATTTGGCAAGTGCTTACCGCGAGTTCTTGGACGCTTGTACTATAAGCTCGGTCATATGAAACGCGTGCCAAGTGGAGAAATAGCCAACCCACGAGTATGGTACCTGCTTAATTATGCGCCCTTACAAACAAAAATTCGCGTTGTTTTTGACACCTCGAGGAAAACGCATGACAAGCGTTGCTTGAACGATTTTTTTATGACTGGTCCGCCTTTCAAAATGATCTCTCGCTGATCCTGATTAATTGGCGTTGGTATCGTTACGCTTTTACGACCGATATAGTAAAAATGTTTAGGCAAATACGCGTCGCACGTGAAGATCAGGACGTGCATCGGATTGTGTGATCTCCGTTGCCTCAGCAGGCACCGGTTGATTATCGGTTAACAATAGTCACGTACAGTATAGCTTGCACTCCCTAAGACTTATTTTTATTGAAAAATGAATTAAATGAGAGAAAATTCAGCCGGAATAAAAAACCCTAGTCACAAGTAGGGGAAAAGCCATTTGAATATTGAGAATTACAAATAAAATACAAGTAAATTAACACGAATAAAACGAAGATCAAACTAAACGCAGATACAGGATTATTAATAATTTGACGCAACTAAATGACGGAACAGTGTAAACCGATTGACGCTAAATACGCATACGCTCAATACGACGATTGAATGGCCACTCAAATCAAATAAATACGCACTTACCAGCCTGACATACGCTCGAATTAGTTTGTCTTTGATTGAGGGAAGTGCCTCCAGCTCGTGTAGAGAACGCAACCACAACGACTCGTTCCGCGAAGGTGGATCCCAACTGGGCGCAATGCCGAAAGTGCGGAGACACTCCAGAGGAAGATAAGATCTTCTTCTGCTAAGGCAGCAGGCAATCCTGTCCTTAGCCCTGGTGTAGATGTCGCTGGTAATAAGTGCACGTCTGCACTCTCGCACCCACACAAGATTGCACACACAAAGCAACTTCAGATCGTGAACGCAGTTGCACGCACGAATACAGTATCTCGGTTTTCTGGCGAGCTGAACATGACGATGTTCTACGGCGAACTAATTATTCTTCGAGTATTCGGACTTAGGAAAACGCAGCCATTCCTCTTTCCATACCCTTGAGTCCCTGGATATTAATCAATCATAATTTGCGGAGGGCGGTCCTCAAGACCAGCCCCCGTTCGGATTCACTCATCGTGCCCTCTCTACTTCCCTCTTTTCTTAGAGAAACTTGGGTTTTCCCAGACAGCACTGCCAGTGACAACCATCTGGTTTTCCCCAAACTACACTAACAGTGCTAACGATCTAGGGTTTCCCCGAACTGCACACCTTCGGCATAAGGTGCACATCTGTTAAAGAAAAACCCAGACAAATATTCTTATCTCTATGAGAGAAACGCAGATGGTACGAATAATAACTTTATGTTTAATTAAAGGGTTTAAAATCGAACTTCTGCCAAAGCCTATAATTTATTTATTTTATGTAGAATGCATGTATAGCATTTTAGAAGTTTATTTTATAAAATAAATAAGTTATAGTTTTTTCAAGAACTTATTTTAAACACATATATTTCTATGGTTTCTGATTACAATACTTCTTTAAAAACTATGTTTTTAGTGTAAATTTTATTGTTATATTTTTTGCCACTTCTTTTTACGAAAACATGGTTTAATAATAGAATCTTCAAATTATTTCTATTTTTCGCTCTAGATAAAGCAACATATAATTGTCCATGACTGAATACAGGAGAAGGTAGATAAACATAAACTCTGTCATATGATTTTCCTTGTGATTTATTAATTGTCATTGCGAAACCTAATCTCACTGGAAATTGTCTACGACGCATGTTGAATGGTATATCTTCTTTTGCGGGTGATAATGATATTCTTGGAATGAAAACAATTTTTCCTATATTTTTTCCCCACGTAATTTTTGCTTGAATAGTAAATTTGTACAGATTTTTAATTATCAATAGTGTTCCATTACAAAGTCCTTCATTCAAATGCAAATTTCTCAACAGTATTATAGCAGCACCAATTTTTAGTTTTAACCTATGTGGTGGTAATCCATTTGGAGGTAAAGAATTAAGAAATTTAGTCAGTAACATAATATCTAAATTTTCTCCATTGTCATCCTCGGCTGTATCTATACTCAAATATTCATGGAAATCACCCACCATTATATCTAAAATGTCATTGTTAATATTTATTACATCATTGTTTGTATTTATTTCGTCATTGAAATTCATATTATCGATAGTTATTTCATTCCCGAAAAATATTTTTATGATATCTTTTTCATCTGTTATCATGGATTGGGAATTTCTAACAATTCATTCTCTTCCTCATATAAATTTCTATATTTTGCTTCATCAACGAGCAAGAGCCATTCTTTAAAATAATTATCATCTTCATTAACCTTTAAATTTTCAGTGAGTGTCATATTTGAAAAATATTTCCACAGATAACTATGTTTAACAGAATTTTCAATTATAGCTGTACGACTCCCGTGTCGGACAACTGGCAATATTTGCTGAAAATAACCTGAGACAATTACAGTTTTACCACCAAATAGTTCTTTCTTTTCGTTTAAATCTTGAAGAAGACGATCAACTGCTTCGAACGCATATTTGAAGTCATTGATATTTCATCCCAAATGATTACTTACACTTTTTTCATCAATTTATCATTTATTAAATTATTTTTAATGTTACATGTTGTACAATCTGTAATATTGAGAGACAATTTGAATGTTGTGTGAAAGGTTTTTACATTCTGCAATAAATTTGTAGCGATTCCTGTCCATGCCACGCAAATATATTGGATATTGTGGAATTTCATATAATCAATAAGTACATTCAAAAGGTAACTTTTTCCGCTCCCTTCTGGTCCATCAAGAAATAAATTTAGCATTAGTTTTGAAGCATTGCAATGATTCATAAAATATTTTTCTTTGTTCTATTTTTAGAAAACTTATTTTTTCTTGTAGTGTATCATCAATGCCATTCGTTTCCATAACATTGTCATTCACATATGATGAAATACATGGTACATCGAAATCGTTCAAGCAATATCCATTAATTTGCAATATCTTATCGATTCATTGCAATGACATATTTTCTCCTACACTTTTTTCATATCTCGGATAATATAAATGATTTTTGTATTTGGCATATAATTCTCGAGCATTGGTGGGATTATGAAAAACACAAATGAATGCAAATAATTCACATAATGCATAAGGGAAATTCACTCTAGTCGCTTTTTTAAATAACAATCCTATTCTTCATCTTCTTTCATCAATTTTTAGCTTTTTCTGCTTCATAAAATGTATCATAAACAACATTATTAACTGTACGAAGTTCTTGGAAAGATTTTGGTCCTTTGACATGTAGAATTAATAGTCTAATAAAATATCTTTCCCGATCCCGATATATTTACCAAGTACAGTGCCGGTCAGCCACTTTTACCCCCCCACAGGCAAAATCAGTCTAACTTCAAAGTTTTATATCTCTGGTAGAAATTAACGTACAGAGACGCGTGTGGGTGCGTTTGAAAGGTCTTTCGGAGAGCTTTCAAATGATATGACTCACGGTTGCCATCGATTGTTTTTTTAAGTTTTGCAACAATTATGCAAAATTGAAAATTCTGAAATTTTTTTATTATTTTTGACAATTAGCCAATTTTGGAAAAAAAATCGTACAAAAATTTGAAGTACACCATTTTTTAGCTATTACCAAGCCCTATCTGAATCACTCATCAAAAATTTATTTTCGTCAAATATGACGCGCGCACGGGCATTTTTTCCTGGAAGTGACAGTTTTTTTCAACATTTTTTATCTCCGTCAAATTGTAACAATCGAAAAAAATTTATAGGAGAAAAAATGTTTGTTTTTTCACGTAGAATACTGCAATACTTTTTTTTTCGGTTTTTCGAAAAATTTTTTTTTTCGGTTTAAATTATTTTTCAAGGTCGAAAAAAAAAAGATTTTTTTTTTGATGCAATTTACGATACTTGTTATGTAGTATTATTGAATGGGTGGAAAAAAATTTTTTTTTGTGGTTTCTCATCTTTTTAGCGTACCGACTTTGAGAAAAAAAATTGAAAAAAAACCGAAAAAAAAAATTTTTCGAAAAACCGAATAAAAAATTATTGCAGTATTCTACGTGAAAAAACAAACATTTTTTCTCCTATAAATTTTTTTCGATTGTTACAATTTGACGGAGATAAAAAATGTTGAAAAAAACTGTCACTTCCAGGAAAAAATGCCCGTGCGCGCGTCATATTTTACGAAAATAAATTTTTGATGAGTGATTCAGATAGGGCTTGGTAATAGCTAAAAGATGGTGTACTTCAAATTTTCGTACGATTTTTTTTCCAAAATTGGCTAATTGTCAAAAATAATAAAAAAACTTCAGAATTTTCAATTTTGCATAATTGTTGCAAAATTTAAAAAAACAATCGATGGCAACCGTGAGTCATATCATTTGAAAGCTCTCCGAAAGACCTTTTAAACGCACCCACGCGCGTCTCTGTACGTTAATTTCTACCAGAGATATAAAACTTTGAAGTTAGACTGATTTTGCCCGTGGGGGGGGGGGGGGGTAAAAGTGGCTGACCGGCACTGTACATTCAGCTTAGGATGGGTTCATTTGTTTTTTTTACTTTTATGA